GACACTTTTCTTTCTTTTAAAAGCTAAAAGGTGATGTTTTCCTACTGTTTTAACTTTCGCTTCATGTGAACAATGTAATGGCATTTCCTACGAAGCTTATTTCTTATCCTACCATGGCATACAGCATTGATTTCATTCCTCTCCCCACACTGAACACTGGAAAGGAAGAGTTTTCATGTACTGAAATGTGCGGTATTTATTGCACTGAGCTGAAATCACCTGCAAATACTTTATAATTTACACTCCTCTGCAGAACTGCCCGGCCAGTTTCTGTGCCTGCGGTAGCTCCCAGCGCTCCCAGACGGGCTCTGTCCCCCTCTCATCGTGCTGCTGACACAGATTAATTCCTGTTGGATCCCTGCGGGATCCCTTTAGGATCTGCCCCTTTCCCAAAGAGGCTCAGCAGCCACCGCCGCTGTTCGAGGCTGATTTAGCAGCAAAGGTCAAGTGCAACAGCTTTGCTCCTCGGTGTAGCTGAAATAGGGGAGAGAGCTCTTTCCCCAGAGCTGTATCCCCACGAATACATTTCATATTCTTCTGCTTCACATTTTCCTGTGCTTGCTGTATTTTTTCCTATGTATACATCTCATCTCGGTACTGTATTGTTTGCTGCCTGTTCCTGGGCAATCTCTGCTCCTGCCCGGGAGGTTTACTTTACTTTTCAGTCGGTTTATGTATCTCAATAAAAGCTCTCCAAAATATTTCGTTCCACCTCACACGCTTGCAATTTTGCATCTCCGTGTAAATATTGTTGCTGACATTTTCACAAACAGGCGGATTTGTAAAACTGGACTTTTTGATGTTGCAAGGCTACTGGGGGGGGAATCACAGAATTAATTTCTGAAACCATGTCCATTATTAGCATACTCCTTCGGAATAAGGATCCCTGTTAATGAGACTTGCTTTATATTATTTTCTCCTCAATAAATGCATGTAAAAATTTCCTCAGAAAAGCTGCCTCCCAGCATCCCCCCGCAACCGGGAGCATCTCACCCCACCCCAAGACCCTGCAGGGCTCCCGTAGCCTCCCGGGCTGACTGATTCCTTGGGTTTCCTACTGGGTTTTTTGTAATAACTGGGGCAACAGCGTGTCATGTTCTCTTTCAAAGCTAACCAGGAAATTTCAATTTATAACATTGTTTCCAATAAATGGAGTGGCTTATAGAGAAAATGCAGCAGTAAAAGCAAATAAAACATACCTTTAAGCCAGACTTAATCTCGCCCATGACTCATCCGTCCTGGCTTTAAACGGGAACGTCGGTCAGGCAATCAAAGCCGCTATTTCTCTCTAGGCGGGGCATTTTTTTTTCTCGGAAAAGCAGTTGTTTCATTAAGCCACTACTTAAACTTCGGCTTATCGTAAATTAAATGCTGACGGAGCCCAGAACAGGTCTGGGGTGAGTTTTTTTTAGTAGCACAGGTGAAAAATAAGTGAAAAAAAAATTGGGTGTTCACCTCTGCTGTGGCAGCGAATGGGAGAAATGCCGGTGACAGGGCGGATTTCTGCTTTACAAGCTGGATTTGTGGAGAAGGAAGAAGTATGGACCATCCCCCAGGAGGTGAGGAAAGGGGGATGGAGAGGAACAGGGAGCTCTTGGGGTCACTGCGCCTCGGGGACCTGCGCGTTGCCTTGCCCGGTTTTAAAACTGCAGATGGGTTTAGTGCTCTTCGTGGGTTATTTCCCCAGTCACGCATCCCGTGTGCCGTGCTGCTCGGATTAGTGATCTCTGATGCGCTCTGAACCAAAAAATTATAACAAAAGCGCGCAGAGCTTCATGTTTCACAGAGGTTTTTTAATGGGAAAACACAGCAGTGTGACAGAGCGTATAGTAAACGTGACAGACAGTTTCAGCAAATTACTTTTTACTCGAAAACGAGAGTAACTGATTTTGTGGGGCTAAAATATTTTTGTTGGTGAAGAGTTAAAATCTAACCTAATGTGCACCTCCTCCCCTTTTAAGTGCTATTACAAGTACTATTCATTTCACATTTATCTTAAACCCTTCTATTTTGCACAATTAAATTTTAGACTATTCAAAATAAAGTACTTTGAACTGCCCATCTGTCCAACAACCAGATCCTGTACAAATGTCAAAAGTTTCAGAATAAACTCTCCCAAAACATGCTGAGCATCGTTCGCTCCTGTTGTAGCTGGAGAGGTAAATGAGTATGGGTCTCATGAATACTCTCAACTGCACTGCAATGGATTATTTTCAATGGTTAAATTGTGGTTTAGGTGCAAGCAATAACATAACTTCCCAACTATCAGACACGCTGCTTCCTAAATGTCATTGTATTCAAATATTCCTGTGTCATGAGATGCATCGATCATGAAAATCGTTTATTTCCAGACAAAAACAGAATAGTTGGTGAAAAGCAAATATTTCTTAAAGAGTATCTAAACTGCACTCAGCTTATGAAGTGACCAGAAAACTCGGTCTATCGAGTCCTCCTGCCCCTGACAATGCTTCTCTGCTGCTTGTTTTGAAACTAGAAAAAACGCCTCGTTCGGTGAACAGTAAACATGAACTACCAAAGTGAGTTGCTCAAAACCTGCGTCAACCAAGAAAACACCACTTACGCTGCTTCTGGCGACTAAATTCAAAACCAGCTTGGTGAAAGTTTAAATACACAAAGGAGAAAGATGTGATCTACGTTTAGAAAGTGACTGACCTACTTCTACAAGCCCTTGTTAGTGTCCAAACGCAGCATTTCCCCGAGCCTCCAAGCTCCGTCCCCTGTTCTCAGGCCAAGCAGCCTTTGACTTGCAGCTCCGCCTGAGCAGGGGGTTGCAGGTTCCCCCTTCAAGAGCTGTTTTAACCCAAAACAGGACTTCAAACTCTTAAGCCTGACCGAAGGGGAGAAAAAGGATGGGGAATGGGGGGGGGTGCGTTCAGAGGTGGGAGAAATCACAGTAAACTATTTTATTCTCTTAAAAGTTCAGCATTATTAAGCACGGGAATATGTAGCTCCTGTATTAATGACTTAACAGGAATGACCTAAAAGTTGATACTGAAAAACTAGGTATGAGTGACCAACACATACACGGCGGAGTCTGAGAGTGCTTTGTAAATGGTGCAAGAAATTGCCGGGAACGTGGATTTAAAACACTTCCATTTGCTAGAAACCCACCTCTAGAATTTCTTGAGACAAACACTATCCGCTGGTCCAAAAAAAAAAAAAAAAATAGACATAAGGTTGCAACAAACGTTATTGAAAAGTAGGGGAACAAGGGAAAAGGCAGCGTCCCAGGGGTGGGCATCCCGGCCGGGCTCAGTTCCCGCCCGCGGGGAGGGGGCTGCTGTCCTCCAGGAGCTTCACCACGGCCGCCCGCTTGTAGAGCCGGGCCAGGTC